CTTCTTAAATCTAACATAACATCACCCCACATGTTTGCATGTTCAGCCTTTAAAAATTCCAAGAAGGTCGCAGCATTTAACCTTGCAGGCAAAAGATAGGTCCAAATAGTCGATTACGGTAGATACCAATTCACACGTTCACACTAAATTCATGCTGAAAATTTCTTTCCCGAACTGCATGCGGATTTTCATGCGACCAAATATGTTGATTATGAAAATTTACCACTCCACGTCGAGTGAAGCATCACTCATCGGTCCATAAAACGTTACTTAAAAACTCCCTTCTATCAAGAATCCACTGACAAAATGTGATTTTTCGTTCTCCGTCCCCTGGCTGTAGTCCTTGCACAGGTTGCAAATGGTAAGGACGCCTATGGTCATTTCTATGAACACGGTGAACATGGCTTACTGAAATTCCCAAGGCACCAGAAACTCTCCTAACACGTGTGGTAGGATCTCTATCAAACTCACGCAGAATCATACGGGTAAATCTGCGCTGACGAACATTTATGTTTTGATCGCTTTGGAGATTTCCAAAACCATTTTCAATTATTTGGCGATGCACTCTTACAAATAGTGAGCGAGTTGGATGTCGTCTGTTTGGAAATCTTCGTGCGTATTCTCTGGCTGCTTCTGCTGCGTTTCCATTTACAAAGCCATACACAAAATGAATATCCGCTAACTCCTGATTGGAGAATGAAAATGGCATTTTTATAAAACTTACAAAAAAAAAACAGGTAAAAGAAACTAAATTTCGTGCATTCACAATTGCAAAAAAACGTTTCAGGTTTCAACAGACAACAAAACTGACTGTCAACTAATTGACGTTTAGTTTAACCTTATTCTGCTTTAAATTTGAAAAAAATTTGCAGGCACAGCCTACTTCTAAAAATTATCGAGATACTGACTTTTTAACGTTATTTTATCATAAATAATTAAAAATGCACCGAACCTTAAAAATCGAAATATCTCAAAAACGGCTAACTATAACGAAAATCCACATGTTGAAAAGTGCGAGGAATCAGTTTTTTTATTCAAAAAGTAAAAAATTGCACTAAGAAAAAATGTTCGGTCATTTTAATACACAGTAGAGAGCGCCCTCTGGCGGATACAGTAAAGCTATGCCCATGGTTCGTTTTGTCGTACCAAAAAACCCTTGTATACCAATTTTCACTGTTATACATCAAATATTGTTCGAAATATTTAAAAAAAACTATTTTAGAAAGTAAATTTAAACACCCTGTATTTCGGAAGCCACGCATTTTTCGACCCATGTTTATATAAACTTTATGCATTAGTTTTAAAAGTTCTATCGAATCTTAAAGTTATGCAACAATAAACTGAAACACCCTGTATACCATTTCAACAGAAAACTGATTGTAGCTGATATTGATGTGGACGTAACAGAAGACTATTCTCTAACAGTGGGAGGAACTGGAGTGGCAATTGTTGGTGCTTGTTTCTCAATGGTGCAGAAAAGATGGTCACATCTGCTCTCTACGATATCGGACTTTAAAAAATTCGGTGACCCACCCAACCATAAAAAGGTAAACGCAAAGCAGTGTGCTTCCGAAAATTTTCGTTCTGTCAGTTTTGCAGATATCCCAGTTTATCCACAAAGTGTTCTTTGGGAACAAACAGTACCCGCAATGTAAAATATTAATATTGTTCTGAGGATAAAACGTTCAAAAATATTTCTTTGAACAATTAATTTCAGGTGATACGAAATACAAATAGAATTTCTGAATTCATGACTATCTACATTTTACTGGCAACGAGTATTTATGGAGCCGTGGCATATTATGAAGCTGTGAAATGTGACAGAAGAATGAAGGAAAGAGGTACTGATACACAAATATTAGTCCAATTGACCTACAAAAATTCTATAATGGATGAAACTTTAGATTTATGTTATTGACGAAAAGCTCCGGATCCTACCGAAGGCAGGAACTGAAACAAAATAAATAATACAGCGCAAAGCGCTGTCTACCACTAGAATCGACCACTCCGGGCCTGTACAGATCTCAAGGAAGCCCAGTTACCATGCGACCGCTAAATGGCTGACTATTCTAGCTGTGTAGTAGATGGGATCTACTTGCCATTTAACAAAATAAACAATCAAAAAGTTTTTCAAAAATTTGCCACCACCGTAGGATCCGGAACGTTTCGTTATTCAGCTAAACAGACTCAAATTTTCATCCATTATAGAAGTTTTGCAAGGTTGAGGGATCATTGTTTGTTTCCTCACCAGGATATATCGCTTCTCAATTATTAGCGACTTATTTATGTACTCAAAAAGGTATTCGTTGCGATCAACTTACTGTTTGAAATTGGTTTATTCAAGGTCTGAATATGATATGCTATAGTATGACAACACTGTGGTTGCCTGTGACATTAGACTACAAGCAACAGCTGATCGTATTCTTCGTCCAGCTCTTCAGCTGTTTGTATCTGCTCCTACCAGGTAAGGTACACAGAAAACCAAATTTGCCTGATCGATTGAGTTCAATGTGTACGAGAGAGAACTGTGTATAGACACATATGTTAGATAGAGATAGATGCCGGCAGGATAACGAAGCTCATTAGTGCATTGCGTAGCAACGCTGACGCAGCGATCTGCCGTGTTACCAATATATCACACCCGTTCCTTAAATTAAGATGCATCTTGAAAATATGCGTTAGTTTATTCTCTACGCCCAAATAATGGTTTTACTTTGGGCCTACACATTTTTGAATTCTGAATTGTGTCCTTAGACGCTCGTCGGCGCTACTTTAAAAGAGGAAAGGATGACTGCGGGTGCGTACCGAGGTAAATTTTTATAATAACAGAGTCGGATTTCGATTAGCGATCTAGCCTGTAAATCGTTTCCTATTTTGGTACCCAGCAAGTGATCATTTAGTATTGTTCTACCCTTGTTATTGTTCGTCGATATTGCGTTGTTGAATTATTGTGCTGTACTCTTGTTGGTGTGATTGTTCTTGAGTGCCTTTTTTATCAAGGTTGATAATGGTCAATAAAAGGTCATATGCGACAATTTTAATTACGAATGCAGTGAGTTTAATTCAAGATGAGGACAACGATAGTGTGGAGCAGTTCAACTCTACAATCGCAAAATACATTGGGGTAAGCGAATAAATTATTGCAAGGATAGGTCATACCATGGAAGATGTGCTGCAGCTGTAGTGAGCCACAACACCCAGCTGCCTGTCTATGTGGTCCAAATAAATTTGCGTTCTAAGCTTAGTCCAACTTCGCATATCACTAAGATGGAACAAAGACTCAAACGCAAGAATCTTGAAAAGAAACTCAGAGCAAAAAAGCTGATATAAAAATAACTAACAATTCCGATAGCAATTTCAAAGAAAATAAATAGTTTTATGGCGAATTCTGTCAAAAACCTGACACGAACGACATTGATTTGGAGGTTGCTAAGCAAGAATTTCTAGGGAAACTTAGAAAACAGTAGAAAAAATTCGTCCAAAATACGATTTGTAGAGGTTTAAGCGCACTTCGAAATTGACGCTTCATTTTTTGATATTTTTGGATGCAATTTCCACAGTGTGCTGAAAACAAAACCCCACAGGATGCTATAGAGCCAGTTTTTAATTTTTTTCACTAGGTTCTTTTTAAAAAAATCGCGAAGTAGAACAAAAAAACTGCGCACTTCAACCCATCATAAAACTTGTGCAAAAACAAAATTTCAAAAAGTGCTCCTAAAGCACCCTGGGCAATTATATTCTCAACATACTGTATGAATTTCATTCAAAAATATTGAAAAATAGACTGTCAGTTTCGAAGCAGCTGAACCCTTGTAAATGGCTTGAAACTCACTGCGTCGGAGCCGCTTTAAGGAACGATTCCGGAACGGTCTTAACTGCGCTTCACTTTAGGTCTTCAGCTGCCTTCTATCTCTTTGTGTACACATTGACCTAAAGCCGTCAGACAAATTCGGTTTTCTTTGTTTATTCTTGTTATCAGATATAATATCACGCTGCAAGTATCAGAGAAATTAGAATATTAAGGAAGCATCAATCATTTGTAACTTCCTATAAGTTTACTGTCACATGGAATCTATTTTCAGCAAGCTTAATATGTTTTCTCGCAGAAGAAGTTGTAATCTACATAAAGTTACATGTATCTCATTTGAAATTGAAGTTTGAAAAGGTTTTTACTGTTGACGATGTTACAAAAAGAAGAGCATGTATTCGGAATTGGATAAAATACCACAACCACATACTTGAGTGAGTACTTTTTCATAATTTAGTTTGATAAGGATTTGGGAAAAAAAGGTATATCGGAATTGATCATCAACTTACTTTCAGGATGGCAGCTGATTTTAACATTTTGATCAAGGTTTCTATAGGGCATGTGGTGTTGATTGCAAATATTGCCGTTGCATGTATAGCAAATCAGATATTCAAAGAGGTGAGCAATAGTCTGACTCTATCTATTCTGCAATGCAAAAAATATACTAAGTGACATATAAATCCGAACACCCAGTTTAAATGGTTTTATTTTAATAAAAGTTGTTGAATGTATTTATCTTACTGTAAATAACAAGTGAAAAAATGTTCAGCCTTATCAGTTGGACATTCCGGTTTTTATACTGCTTTTTTTTAATTCACTAACGCTCTAAAAATGAATATTTCCGCCGCAGTAAAGAATCAACGTTGGCGGATTTTGGTTCTTGACATCCTTTACGATCGGTTACGATGCCTAGAGTACGGAGACCTGTACGATTTCGTCAACTTAGTGAGTTTGATAGGGGCCGTATAGTGGGACTTCGGGAAGCTGGACTTTCTTTTCGGGCAATTGCAGTTAGAGTGCAAAGAAGTGTAGACACTGTGGTTAGGTGTTGTCAGGCATGGCTTCGAGAAGACCGTACTCAAAGAGCAAGGGGCACTAGACGCCGCCGTACAACAACAGACCGTGAAGATCGCCGCCTAAGATTATTGGCCTTAAGGGACCGTTTCTCCACTACCAGGTCCATTGCAAATGAATGGTTTGCAGAACACGGAAGACCTATTGGCATGCGAAGTGTTTACCGACGAATGAGAAGTTTTGGCTTGTTTTCGTACCGGCCACACTGGGTCCTCCCTTTAACTCGAGAACACCGACGTAATCGCCTTGAGTGGTGCAGACAACGGTCACTCTGGGATCAGGAATGGAACAGTATTGTCTTTAGTGACGAGTCTCGATTTTGTTTAGGCATGCACGATGGTCGCGCCAGGGTTAGAAGGCGACGTGGTGAAAGGAGGAATCCACAGTTTTTTGTTGAAAGACATGTTCATCACACTGTTGGAGTTATGGTTTGGGGTGCTATAGCTTATGGTTCCAAGTCACCTTTAATCTTCATCAGAGGTAACATGAACGCGCAGCGTTATATCCACGAAGTTCTAGAACCCCATCTTTTACCCTATCTTGACACCCTGGCAGATCCAACTTTCCAACAAGATAATGCCCGACCACATGCTGCAAGAGTCACAATAGACTTCTTTCAACATAATGATGTCACATTGTTACCATGGCCACCAAGATCTCCCGACTTATCCCCAATTGAGCACGTGTGGGATATGATGGGTAGGAGATTGCTCAATTTGCAACGTCCTCCTCAGACTCTAGGAGCACTTCGAGAGGAGTTGGTGGTTGCTTGGAATGAGATACTACAGGAGGACATTGACCACCTGATCAGAAGCATGCCTAGGCGCGTTGGAGAATGCGTAGCACATCAGGGTGCATCCACACATTATTAAAGGCTTTAAAGCAGTGCAATCATTTTGAAATTTTTATCATTTACTTATTATGCTTCATTAAGTACTTTTACAAAATTTTATTGAAATAAAACCATTTAAACTGGGTGTTCGGATTTATATGGCACTTAGTATATATTCCGAATGAACAAAGCTAGCATCCTCGGGTTTTGGCTAGCGGTGAAAGAAATTATCCTTTGATGTCACGTCAAAATTATGCCTTTTGAAGACTTTCATTGATGTTTCGGTTTATGGCATCATATTTTTGGCTACAAGTGTAAGCTGAATGGGTGAAGGAACATACAGAAAAATCCAAATATCACTGGCGACGTTATGTGTACGAGAGAGAAACGTGCAATACGTATGTTAGAAAGAGTGGACTCGTCCCTCGGGTTGGCAGGCAACGTGGTGCTTCTATCTCTTACTAACATGCGTATTGTACGCTTCTCTGTCGTGTACATCACGGCGTCAGTGGTGAACGGATTTCTCTGAATGTAATTCTTTGTAATAACGACTATAACTTATTTTAACAGACAAAACCATTGGGAGCAATTATGAACTTGAGTGGTTGGATTGTCAGCGTGTTTTTGATATGCCATGCTGGGCAACAGCTCAATGAAAATGTGAGTGTAGGATTCACTTTAATTGACCCAAAACTCACTTTCATGCCCAGATTAAAATGAGCATTTGATAACATAGGCTTGCAAATTTTGACATTTTATTTGTTTTACTTGTATATGTGAAATCAAAATACAGCTTTATTTTTTGTCTGGCACATCGACATTTGTTTTATTCAGCGTTTTTGGGATTTCTTAACAATGGACATAAAAAACGAATATTACTTACTTTACTAAAATGATATCAAAGAGACTATCTAAATCGTACAGTATCATGGCCTCTTTACTTTCTTCTTTAATCACTCCTGTTCAATATTTTTCTTTTGCGCGTTTCCTCTGGTTCATCTCTCTTCTAGAAATAGTTAGCATCTCACCATCCTTGGTATCTGTTCCACATAACCTCACATTTTTGTAGAAACGCTCACCTCATTCTTCAATTACGGCTCCAGAAAAGTAGTATATGCACACTAGATCTTTCTTATCAGAATTGATAAATGTTGGCTTGAGTTTTTGGAGTATTTATACCACTTATCTATATAGACTTTTACACTTTTTTTGAAGGATCCGTTGTTTTACGCTATTGCACTTAGGGTTAGATCAACTGTAACAGGGGACAATACTAGAAAAAATGAAAAAGTGTTGTTAAATGATGTTTTTAATTATTTTTTTTCCTCTAACTAAATACTCACACGCTTGCAGATTGCTAATTAGTTTTCTAAACATCCTATGTCTATACAGGGTGACCTAGTATTCCGCGGACTTAAAATACCAGTTACTATTAGACTAGAGGGCGTTAATGTCTTCTTTTCAAAACACTTTTTTCAGATATTTTTGGAATCGCTGGTCCGATTTGGATGCAATTCAAAACACAAGCGTTTTACTAGACGTCTTAATATTTGACTTTCACAAAATACCCGCAATTATCGAGAAGGGTGAAAAGTACCCTCACCCTTAAATAAATTACAGCAAAAATTTTTCTCAGCCATCCCAACGACTCTGGATTTTTTTTTATTTAGAATATCCTTTTATTTTCTTCATTTTTAGTCTCTCAGGCCATCTAGTACAGTTTTCAAGAAAAAAATATCTTTTAAAGTTGATCCCTAACAAAATTTTCTTATTACATCAAGTGTAGTAAAATTTTGTGCACCCTATTGCTATGTGAAACAACGTCTGTATTAATAAAGTTGTAATGAGTAATATCATATTTGTTTATTTTCGGCAATTACACTTAAAGAATTAGTAAGTCGCTTGATTCACCTCATTTTTTTCTTGAAAACTATCCAACATAGCCTGTCTTTACAGGAGACAAAATAAGTAAGCAAACAGATCTGCTGAATAAAAAAATTCATAGTCGTTGAAAAAAATGTGTTTTAATGTGTTTTAAAAAAGAATTTTGACCCTCTCTAACCGACAAACAAAGCACTTTTACAGGTAAGTCATGTCCGATCGAATTCCTTTGAGTCTTAAAATGCGTGGTTCTAGTATGTTCACAGAATATTGGGACACCCTGTATAATCCATGCACGTCATGCACTTATTATTAGGTACATTCTCTATATAACCTCAAGACTCATCACGTAATTATCTATGCACACTGATAAACTTTTGGTCGAGCTGTTGTTCGAGATATTATTTGATTGAGATTTTGTCTGTTGTGTCAATAGTTAAATTAGAAATCCTCTACTTACAGAGTATATCAGTAGCTGATTTTGTGTACCTGTCTGACTGGTACACGTTAGATGTGAAAACAATGAGAGGAATCGTCTTAATATTGAAAAGATCACAAAAGTCTTGTAACCTAGATGGATTCATGGTGGGTACGATGGACTATGCCCTCTATGTTATGGTAGGTTTTGGTCGAATATATCGGGAAAAAATTAATTAGGCCAATTAAAAAAATTAATTAACTATGTGACAGCTACCAAGTTTAAGTAGTTTAATTAATCTCCAATTTCTAAAACAGTGTCTACTTGAATCTGTGAAACTAGCTTAATTAAACCAAAACGCAATCGTTTAATTAAATTTATTAAACCGTTTACTTAGATTGATTACACTAATTTCTTTGAAATGAGCTATTAAAATTAGCTTACATTCTCCAAGTAAAACGATTTAATCAAATTTATTAAACTTGTTTAATTAGTTTTGGTAAAAGTGTTTGCCTAGCTTTGATGAATTGTTTTATTTAGATTTAAAAGGTTGTTTGGATACGTGGAATTTAAGAAAAAAATTGCATTTTGCTGAATATTGTATATAATAACAGTGCTGTGACAAATCTTAGATATAAAAAAAATTGGAGAACTTGGTAGTGATGGTAGGATGAACTTTTTAAATCAAAATAAAAACATCCGAATTTTATACTCCTAGCAAAATTGGATCTTTTAATTTAATTGATTGTATACTTATTATATAAGGGTTCATGTTTTACCAAATGTTTGTCTGTTCATCCAGAAACAGGTTATAAAATATCACCATTCACTGAAAGCAATTCTTCGTTTTAAATTCAGTAAATAGGGACAAAGATACCAGACACTGAATAAGGCCACTTGATCATGTTTGTGTACAAACATTGTACTTCTATTTCTAATAATAAAACAATATTGCACTTAACCGCGTTCAACACATTTATATATGTAAGTATATAAATAAATTCGACAGCACTTTAAACAAACTAGTATATTTTCAAATACTACAAAGCCTACACCAAAAGGGGGTCCACTTCCTATACATATATACATTATACAATATAAAAGAACAAAATTCTAACCATGGTTATAGTGGAAATTACACACACGGGTCAAAATCAGAGCGAGGAATACGTGCAATACTGAGCATAGTAGCAGTTTAACTGTTTATTAAAACGTTTAATTGTTTTAAGCGTACTATATAAACTAAATTATACAAACTAATTAAGTACTTCAATAAAACATGTAAATGGTTTGCTATTTTCAAGCAAATCAGCTTAACAGTACGAGAGATGTCTTTTAAGTTTTGCATACAGGATCGAACGTCAGTACTGAATCTTAACCTCACTCTTTAGTAAACTTAAATTCAAAGTTTCACAACAATACGTGCAGTGTTCTCACTACAGTGCATTTTTAAGTGTCACCAAGTCATTAGAAAATTGGAACTCAATTGAGAACATTTTCGCGCCATAATTTATTACAACTTTCAGAGACAATTATCGCAACAAGAATGCCTTGCTGAGTTACTGTCTGTTTTCGGCAACGAAGCGCCACATCAGTCGACAATTTCCCGTTGGTATGGAGAATTCAAACGTGGACGGGTGAGTCTTAGCGACGATTCCAGGGTGGGTGCACCAAAACCGGTAGTTACCCAGGAAAACGTCGATGCTGTGCGCAAACTCATCATTGAAGATAGACATGTGACATATCGCGAGATTGAGGCGTCCCTGAAGATCTCAAAGACCTCAATACAAAAAAATTTACATGAAGAATTAGGAGTAAGAAAATTAGTTTCTCGTTGGATACCCCACCTGTTGACTGAATAGTAGAAAGCAGCCAGGGTTAATTGGTGTCAAAAAACGCTTGACCGTTTCAATTTCGTAAATGTGTACAGCATTGTTAATGGTGATAAATCGTGGATTTACTGTTATGAACCAGAAAATAAACGACAGTCGGCTGTTTGGGTGTTCCAAGGTGAAGAAAAGCCAACAAAAGTCATCCGTTCTCGAAGTGTTTCGAAAAAGGTGGTCACGACATTTGTGTCAAAAGCGGGTCATATTGCAACAATTCCTCTTAATGTGCAAAGAACTGATACTGCGGATTGGTATACCACCATTTGTTTGCCAAAAGTCATCACCGAGCTTCGAAAAATCAACCCCCAAAGAAGAATCATCCTCCGCCAAGATAATGCAAGCTCGCACACAGCCCAAAAAACAAGGCAGTATTTAACGGAAGAAAACGTGGAATTATTGCACCATCCTCCATATAGTCCCGATCTAAGTCCTAACGATTTTTTTACTTTCCCGAAAATTAAAAACAGACTGCGTGTTCAAAGGTTTCAGTCACCAGAAGAAGGAGTTGACGCATTCAAAAATGCCGTTTTGGATCTGCCAGCAAACGAGTGGAATAAGTGTTTCGAAAACTACCTAACGTGTTGTTTTATTTCCATATGCAAAACTTAAAAGACATGCCTCGTATAATTCTTTCAACGGAGATTCAGTTTAACTATACCGAATAATTTAGTTAGAGGAATAAAAAAAATGTATTACGGATAATGAAAATTTTCCAGAACAATTGTTTAATTGACCAAGTTTTCTCGATGCATATGATATTTTCATAGACTTTCCAGTGACAGGCCGTGAAGGTCTATTGTTTCGATTCAACTTGTTAACAATTTCTGATAGATTGAATCTAATTATACCTACCTTTTTCAGGTGGTGAAGACATCATATTCTTTTCTCACTCTTCTAAACAGTTCAACGTAACCATTGATACAGGATCTGATTGCTTTTCGTCTCTGCAACAATAACCCACCGTACAAAACCTAAGAAGCATGAGTAACACCATGCTTTTTACCCGAATGCTTCAGAAGGAGGTTAACGTTTCGCGCATATGTATAAGGACAAATAAATCTATTTCACGGGCTACAGTCCAAACGGCTCAATAAATTTTGACACACAGAAAAACTAAGTTTGTCTGACGATTTGAGTACAATGTGTAAGAGGGAGAAGTGCAGAAAGTATGTATTAACGCATGTTAGAAAGAGAGAGAAGCCGGCTGAAGAGCGTTGTCTAGCAACGGTGACGCAGGTGGTCATGGCGATATGCCACGTTGCCAATATGTTACATCAAAAAATGTTCGCAAAGGCTTATTTTTTATTACTTATTTCAATTTTGATGTGACTTGGTGTTTTAATTTATTTTAGAATTAACTTTGATTTCCACCGATGGCGATAAAATCAAGACATCGTGAATTATTGATACATTTTGCGACAGCGAGCGGTCTAAAAATGTAACAAATACCATTAGACAATACAAATTCTTATTTCAAAGCAGAACGACACTCTCCAATGAGCTAGATGGGTACTGGCCAAAATCGCTCATCTATGATCATGGAGGTGGAAACCTTGGCTTGGAATTCTCGAGATGCGGTGTTGCCAAGCGATCCAATGATGCAATGTTGCAGAATTTATGGAGGTGTTGACCTTTCATTTCGACCTCTTATGTTATGACCGATCCGAAATCGATTACAACAGATTCGTCATAATTCACAATTAAAAAAGTGTGTACGCTCAAAACAAAACCATTATTTGAACGTAGAGAATAAACTAACGCATGTTTTCAACATGCGTCTTAACTGGTGTAACATATTTGCAACGCGGCAGATTGCTGCGTCAGCATTGCTAGGCAACGCAGTGATGAGCCTCGTACACATTGAACTCAGTCGTCAGACAAATTTGGTTCTGAGTGTATACTGTATTGTTGGATTCGTCTTAGCACTGCGTCTGACACTAACTATATTAAAATTTTATAAAAACAAAATGGTGGATTTATAAGAAAAGACCAACCTTGGCATTCCTTTTTCACGGGCTTCAGTCCAAACGGCTTGATGAATTTTGACAAATGAGGTGCCCTGAGTTGTTAGCAATAATCTGTATAGTTATTTGAAGTTAGATGACGGAAAGCAGGCAGGTGAAAATGGGTTTATTGAAAAATCCAGTACTGTGATGCGAATATTTAAAGACACCTATGCAAACCTACATCCGATGTTTTAAAAGAAATTCAATATAAGCCTTAATCAACACTTGAACAAGAATTTATTCCAACAGCATTATTATTACCTACACAGTGTAAGTATACTAAGTGACATATAAATCCGAACACCCAGTTTAAATGGTTTTATTTTAATAAAAGTTGGTGAATGTATTTATCTTACTGTAAATAACAAGTGAAAAAATGTTCAGCCTTACTGCTTTTTTTAATTCACTAACGCTCTAAAAATGAATATTTCAGCCGCAGTAAAGAATCAACGTTGGCGGATTTTGGTTCTTGACATACTTTACGATCGGTTACGATGCCTAGAGTACGGAGACCTGTACGATTTCGTCAACTTAGTGAGTTTGATAGGGGCCGTATAGTGGGACTTCAGGAAGCTGGACTTTCTTTTCGGGCAATTGCAGTTAGAGTGCAAAGAAGTGTAGACACTGTGGTTAGGTGTTGTCAGGCATGGCTTCGAGAAGGCCGTACGCAAAGAGCAAGGGGCACTGGACGCCGCCGTAGAACAACAGACCGTGAAGATCGCCGCCTAAGGTTATTGGCCTTAAGGGACCGTTTCTCCACTACCAGGTCCATTGCAAATGAATGGTTTGCAGAACACGGAAGACCTATTGGCATGGGAAGTGTTTACCGACGAGTGAGAAGTTTTGGCTTGTTTTCATACCGGCCACACTGGGTCCTCCCTTTAAGTCGAGAACACCGACGTAATCGCCTTGAGTGGTGCAGACAACGGTCACTCTGGGATCAGGAATGGAACAGTATTGTCTTTAGTGACGAGTCTCGATTTTGTTTAGGCATGCACGATGGTCGTGCCAGGGTTAGAAGGCGACGTGGTGAAAGGAGGAATCCACAGTTCTTTGTTGAAAGACATGTTTGTCACACTGTTGGACTTATGGTTTGGGGTGCTATAGCTCATGGTTCCAGGTCACCTTTAATCTTCATCAGAGGTAACATGAACGCGCAGCGTTATATCCACGAAGTTCTAGAACCCCATCTTTTACCCTATCTTGACACCCTGGCAGATCCAACTTTCCAACAAGATAATGCCCGACCACATGTTGCAAGAGTCACAATAGACTTCTTTCAACATAATGATGTCACATTGTTACCATGGCCACCAAGATCTCCCGACTTATCCCCAATTGAGCACGTGTGGGATATGATGGGTAGGAGATTGCTCAATTTGCAACGTCCTCCTCAGACTCTAGAGGCACTTCGAGAGGAGTTGGTGGTTGCCTGGAATGAGATACCACAGGAGGACATTGACCACCTGATCAGAAGCATGCCTAGGCGCGTTGGAGAATGCGTAGCACATCAGGGTGCATCCACACATTATTAAAGGTCAAAGGGCTTTAAAGCAGTGCAATCATTTTGAAATTTTTATCATTTACTTATTATGCTTCATTAAGTACTTATACAAAATTTTATTAAAATAAAACCATTTAAACTGGGTGTTCGGATTTATATGTCACTTAGTATAAATAAGTCGACCCATAAGTTTTCCATATTATTCATTCACCTTCATGCTTCATAGCAGTGAAGTCCAGGGGGATTGAAACCGTCGTCATTGCTACAATTTTTATTATGCTCTGCAGACATATCCGAAAATAGTAATATGAAGGTAACAAGATATGCTATGTTAGACAAAAACGGCGAAGCAAAAATCCGAGGAATATGTGAATGAATTTATTACTATAAGAAAGATTGCAAACATCCGTTGGTAATATTTATTGATGTCACTACTAATTTTGAAATACTTTCAAGCCAGTGCCTGTATCTGTTTTTCAGTCTGCAAGATGCACGAGGAACCTTAATCAGACGCATGCTCACTAACAAAACAGCTGATTCTACCTGTCACTTTCTTGCAATATGTTCGCTGACGTTTAAGCAAAACGTACAGCTACAAAACGAGTTCACAACAAGTGTACAACAACTTGTGCTAAGTTAACATCTTGTACAAAAACAAATAAATTCAATAGAGCTCCGTTGCATAGTTTTAAAATGTTATACCCAGTATATGAAATAGATGGATAATGAAAAACACTCATAGCTGGATTAGACGAAAATTTGTTATAGGTACCTACCTTTGCGTTCAAGTTTATCAAAAGTAAGACAGCTTTCAATAAATTCATCATTTTTCTCATCCTCCCAAGATCCATATCTGATAAATAAGAGTATAAGCTTTGCCATGAATCTTACAACCTCCATCCGCATTGTGTAATACTATGCCAACATGCTGAAGCTGAACTGAGAAACATACAGGGTGTAAACGTTATGATAGTCATTATTTAAATGGATTATAGAGGGGGTTGAAAGAAGCAAAAAGTTTCATATAACATGGAGGTCAAATCGGCATTTTTTTAGAGAAAAGCGACTCTTAGGTATTATTTCATTATTTGATAATGTACTCGTAAAATGCAAACAACTAAAAAAAAGGACTTACCACTAACTGTCTCAGCGCTTCACCAGGTGGGTGAAAGTTTATTGAACGTATTAAAAAAATCCACTTATAAATAGGGAACATAATTTTGATACATTGTTTTTCTTTTTAAAACCCACATTGCACTTTTTTGTATTCAAAGGTGTTCAAAATGTCGTCCTCCACTTTTCACACAAGCTTCATTACGACGAACCCAGTTTCTTCTTACTCTAGGTCCTCGAAGTTAGCCATTTATTATTTCAGCTGCATTAAAATTTTTTTCGCGAAGTTGTGCTTCAGCTGTTATTGGACCAGCCCCATAAACCATCTCTTAAAGTTCTCCCCAATACCAGAAATCCATCGGATTGAGGTCAGGAGATTTTGCTGGCCATTTTCGAGGATCAGGAGCATTTCAACCGATCCAGCGATTTGGATAATTCAAATACTGAATGACGCCTCTAACAATGTGTGGTGGTGCCCCGTCATGAAGAAACCACAAATTCTGTCTCCGTTGTAATGGCATGTTGTCTAAGGTCTGTTCCAAAAGTTTTGGTAGATTATTGGCTATAAAGCTAAGGTATCTTTCTCCTGATAACTTTGGGGGTAACTCGAAAGGGCCAATGACCTGATCGTCAAGAATACCCGCCCAAATATTTATTTTAAAACGTTATTGGAAATGACCTTCACGAATGGTATGAGGATTTTCTTGCGCCCACGTGTGAGTATTATGGAAATTTAAGTCTTGCGTAAAAGTACAATCTGTATATTTCTAACATCGATCATTAAAAATTTAAAAAGGCCCTGGCAGGTACCTAATAATTATATGGTTTATCTACTTGCACATTATTTTTTCATAATGCTATACTAGGTGAGGGGCATTCTGCTTACACCATAATTCTTTTGTCTGTGATGCTATTAAAGTGTATTAGAGGGGTGTTATTCTGCTTGAACATCTTATGAGGTTGTGAGAATAATGGGTTATGTTTCATGTGTACAGTAAAGGGCAAAAAATACGAAATACAAGACCGGGAAAACAACTCAGAGAAACAAGTTTCTTTGATAAAAAAGGACAGTCTATCTTACGTTGGCAATAATTTCTATATTTCATATTACCGAGGAATGGGATTGAAAATAATACAACAGTTTAAAAACTCTATAATCTATTTTTTACAAGTATAAAATAAATACAGTAAAAATAAAACAAATACATGGATCGTAACAAATAAATAAATAATTTTTATATTGAAGACTAAATAATTTTTATACATGTTGAAAACCTCGAATTTTTCACAATTGACACAAGCTATATAAAGCTATAAGCTATAAAACTATACATGCAATTTGATCGTCTGTAAAGTTATGTCATTATTTTGATTCTTTATAGGATATTGTGTCGCTGTTGAGAATATATAGAATGACTAAAGCAAAACTTCAAATTTTAAATTCAGGGGGTGATTTTTTGATGATTTGCGAAATATCATTGTAAATCGCCTTTGAAGAATACCGTATGATTTAACGAAATATAAAGAACATGATAGAGAGTTTCGGCACACAAATACCGCATACGTAAACGTTAACGTTGATATTTAAGCCATAGGAGGTTATCAGATAACAATTACTTCTACCTATTGCCAAAACTCTCTAATGACTAGTTGAGATGTCCGTGGAAGAGAATCGATTTATTTAGTTCACTAAGGACTAGAGATCAACTGGTACAGGATTTTCGCCGATATCGATAATCGGCTGACACTGATATGTCAGAGGCCATACCGACCTGCTCTTCTGTTTTCGCACACAATCGTGTCATACACATTGGATAAAAGGGCATCTACGAGGACGGTTCAATAAGTATACGTGTTTGACGACAGAGGGCGTTCCTGGAGGAAGTTAATGTTATCATCGTGTGCTGCCATCTATCAAAGGACGACACAACCAATTTCAGACTGATTGATAGGTTAGTTTGGATTTGGCGGCCATTCGAGTAATACGTGTTTCGTGATTCGTGATGAAAAAAGAGCAGTATCGTTCGGTAATTTGCTGCTTGTTTTTGGATGGGAACAAATGCGAGGAGATGAAAGCAAAGTTTGATGCTGAGTAGACAGTAGACATGGTGAGAGAGTAGACGTGCTGTGTGTCGCTATGCGGAAAATCTGAAAAACCTCCAGTAATAAGTGGAATTAAATAATTTGGTTCTTCTGCTATGAAAGGTTAGTGGACACTAAATCAATATGCCATTGACACGAGATCAAATGGCCGATGTTAAATTAATTATAAAGCAAACCATTGAAGAATTGCTCAGTGATGATAAATTCGTAACGCTTATTTCTGATAAAATCGAACAGAAACTGGGTATAAAGGAATCTCAACCAAAAATGGTCGAGCTAGAAAAACAAATAGTGGACATGAGACATGCTAAGAATAAGCTAGAGTGTGACTTGGAAAAATTTCAACAACATGCACGTCGGAAATCTTTTAGAATAGTTGGCATGAAGGAATCACATGGTACAAGTGTCCTGGAGCAGGTGCTTACCTTATGCGAAGATAACCTAAAAACTCGAGTTTTGGAAGGGAATATTTAAAATTGTTTTCCGTTAGGAAGAAAGAAGAACGAACAGCGTTCTGTCTTGTTTACTGTAAATTCTCATAACCTGAAAATGAAGCTTCTGAGAAACAGGAAGTTGCTGAAAGGTTCAGGAATAACTCTTACTGAAGATATGTCGCCTGCTCGATATAACCTCTATCAAAAGGCCGTGCAGAAATGGGGTAAGCAGAAGACCTGGTTTTATAACGGAGAAATATGGGTGAAACTGCGAGAAAACAAGTTACAGATAAAAACGGAAGAGGACTTGAATAACATGGCGCAGTAATGATCCCATGTACTGTTCAGGTTGCTGCAGAGTGGACGTGAGCTTTTCATTTTGGTTTAGTGCTTTTTTCTTTTCTTTTTTTTTCTCCTTCCTTTTCTGCGAGTTGCAATTTGTTACATAACTGAGCCATTGTTTAGTTGTAGCAGTTTAGTTAGTTTCAGTTTTTTCTGCATTCATATTGAGTTTAGCTTGATTTGTATATGACTGATATTGCTACAGCTTTGAATATTTTAGAGGATTATAACAATATCACGACCATCAGTTGTTCTAATTTTGATGAATTAAATAGTGTTCTGTTTGAGAGAAGTGATAAGTTAAACTTCACTATACTTCATTACAATATCAGGAGCTTGCAAGCTCACTATGATGAGCTTTGTATAAACATAGCGGTGTTAAATAAGAATAAAAATATAGGTATCATTGTTTTGAGTGAGACCTGGAATATCAGTAATATCGACAGTTATAAAATAAATGGCTTCCAAATTTACTATAATGAAGCCAAGTATAATAAATGCAATGGGGTTTGTATGTATGTAAGAGATGACATTTCGGCAAATGTTTCCATAAAAATGAAAGATGTAGTGACGGCATTGAATTGTAGCTTTATTTTCAACAATAACAGTTTTAGTATTACTGGTATCTACAGGCCTAATCCCACGAATGTACAGGATTTTGTAAACAATTTGGATTCTTTTTTTTATATACATTTGCTCATAATATACCTTATGACCATTAGCCATGCATTGAATTTGTATATTGTATGACACACACAAGCTTATAACTTAGGTGTCTATTCTTTTGTAGTAAATTTTAGTACTCTTGTTTCTCTGCTTAACCTTTACGCAAAATTTTTATTGTTTAAACAAAACAGTTTGACCTTACTCGAAATATCCCTCAATTATCATATTTCAGATATTCATATTTTATGTACTCTATATTTATACTTCTGAGTGTTTTTAGTATGCTTCTGTACTATTGTTATGAATTTTAGATTTGTTTATGCAGACACGTAATTTAGGATTTGTGACGACAAGATCCAGACATTTACCCTTTACGAAAGTATACAGAATTTTCACAATTCATATACCGTTACTTGCTGGTTCTGATCTAGTATCTTTGCTCAGATTTCTGTTGCAATCTTGGTTATTCAGGGTAGCAAGAGCATACAAGCTCATGTATTTTTGAAGCTTTTTTTATTTAAATTGTACTGAAGGTTGTTTTTAATTTGTAAGTTATATTGGTTTTTGAATTTGAATAAACTTTGAAAACTTTGAAAAAACTTTGTTTATGGGGACACTTTGCCATCTATGACCACAGTTAGATATTGGTAAAACGAATTTAAACGTGGGCGAACATCCGTTTTTGATGAGGATCGACCAGAACGCCCGGCAGACGTGGTTACCGAGGAAATCATTCAAAAAGTCCACGACATGATTCTCGCTGATCGACAAACGAAAGTGCGCGAAGTAGCAGAAGCCCTAGATGTGCTTACCGGAACGCTAATCAATATTTTACATTATAAGTAATGAAAAAATTGTCGGCCCGATGGATGCCGCGATTGTTCATGGTGGACAACAAGCGGATGCGGCTGTTAAGTTCGAGGCACTGTTTGGAGCAATTTAAGCGAGTTTTAGCATCTAGCTGTCACCGCCGATGAAACCTGGATTCATCATTACACACCAGAAAGTGAGCAACGATCAAGACAATGGATTTCTTCAGGTGAATCTGCTCCAAAGGATGCGAAGACGGTCCCATCGGCCGGAAAGGCCAAGGCGGCGATTTTTTGGGATGCGAACCGCGTCATCCTCGTGTATTCTTTAGAAAAAGGAAGAACGATCACTTGGCAATACTATATTGGAACGCTTCGACAAAAAATTGAAGGAGCACGGCCACATTTGGCGAAAAAGAAGGTGCTGTTTCACCACGATAACGCACCAGCACATTCATCCGGAGTTGTCGCCGCCAAACTGCATGAACTGCGTTATGAAGTGCTGCCGCACCCCCGGTATCCACCCGATCTGACCCCCTGCGACTTTTTTCTTGTTCCTTGACATGAAGAAACGGCTCGCGGTGAAAACATTTAGCTCAAACAAGGAAGTCATCGCCGAGACAGGCGTATTTCGGATAGTTCGACAAATCCTATTTTTTGGGGAGGTTAGAAAAATGGCAGGAACGTTGGGAAAAGTGTATCTTTCTAAAATAAGATTACATTGAAAAATAAAAAGAAATTTTTTGGAAAAAATGGTGTCTTCATTTCTAACACTACCATTTGCCTGAACCGCTTCGGTTCCATCATGTTCCAAATGTCAAAAAGGAGGGAAATTCGTGACATATTTCGACAGAATTTCCAAAAGACTGACGATAGTGCAATTTGGGATCTATGCAAAAGACATCTCTTTGCGCGGCAGATGGAAAGAAAAGTCATTACCAACCAACAATTTTCTCTCACTACTGATATTGGTTCACTCATTTATTGTTGGATTATCATCAGACAAGTATTTTGGTGGAAATGATCAGAAAAATGTCACTAACATCAAACATATGGAGCGAGCAAAGTCTCTTTTTTTTTGGTTGGGCAACTTTTACGAATCAGGTTAACTCATGTCAGAGCAAACGCTTTTTTTACACCATAATATGCTTATATTAATTTTGAAATCTTTTTTGATCACATTGGTTTGATAGCTCCTGTTTTATTACACTATTTTTCATGTTAAGTTTCATATTGATTAATCCGTTTTTATCCTTTTGCCAAGAACTCAAGGCTGATTATGGATTTTTATACATGTGTAACAATTGCGTGTTGGATTAATTAAAGAAAATATTCAACGCTATTTAACTTAGTTTATGTGGGCCGGCCCAAATCGGCATATGGGCAGTCATATTGGCCGATAGATAATATCACCTAAATACGCCGATATTGCTTATATGCCCTAAAGAATGCAATATTTATAATTTCTTTTATATCCTGTATAAATAATAGTAATTTTCCAAAGCGTGATCTTTCATTTGAAAAAACGTGATCATGTTCGATTTCAAAAACTATCCGTTTTTGAGAAAAACAGGCGCATTTCAATACTGCTTTATCGATGCTGCTGAATCTTATCGAGTGTACAGGGTGTTTGAAAAATAGAGAAGATGTTTTAGAGTGATTCCTTGTTAAAAAATTCGAAAAAAAGTTTCTATAAAGTGATAAGTTTTTAAAAAAAAATAGCAACTTGCATTAGCGCGAAAATGACCTTATCCCTAAGAATCAGCATGGATTTCTCCCTGGTCGATCAATAATGACCAACCTTCTCCACTCTCTCAACGATTGGACTCAGTATCTGGACACAAAGACTCCTGTTGATATAATCTACTTAGATTTTTCTAGGGCTTTCGATCGCGTACCACATAGAAGGCTTCTGTTTAAGTTGGAATGTATGGGAATAAGAGGCGAGTTGTTACTGTGGATTAAGGCTTTTCTCACCGGGAGGACTTTCTCTGTGCGCGTCAGTGATAGCCAGTCTCACCTTCATCATGTAGCAAGTGGAGTTCCTCAAGGCTCTGTCTTGGGGCCAGTGCTGTTCCTTCTGTATACAAGTGACCTGCCCGCATTGATTTCCTCCATATGTTCAGCTTATGCCGACGACACCAAGATTTACAATACTGTCGTAAATTCTGCTATGCTTCAACGAGATCTTGATATTGTTTGTCAATGGTCAGTCAGTTGGCTTTTACCCTTAAATCTAACTAAGTGTTGTGTCCTTCACCTCGGGAAGACAAATCCGCGATTTACATACAAGATCTCTGACCACAACATCGAAGCAGTTTCCAGCCACACTGATCTGGGCGTTGTAGTCAACGATCGCCTTTCCTGGTCAGAGCATATTCACCACGTTACATCAAAAGCCAAGAAACTTCTATACATGCTGGAGAGGTCTTTCAAAGGATCCGATGTCAACACTTGCGCCTACATTTACAAGGCATTCGTGAGGCCAATTCTTGAATTCGCTGGCCCGGTATGGGACACTGTGCTTCTGCGCGATAGAAATCTCGTCGAATCAGTACAGCGTCAGGCTACTCGTATCCCTTTTGGAGCACGAAGACCAAGCTATGAAGATCGCCTTGAATTATTCAACCTGACCTCATTCTCTGAGCGAAGACTTCGTGGCGATCTATACCGTCTGTCGCGCAGCAATCTACGCGGACACAGCTTCAAACTGCATAAGGAGCCATTTAAAACAACAGTCCGACAGTGGTTTCTTCCCAACCGCATATTCACCTGGAATAGTTTACCTGAAAGTGTGGTTGCTGCTACTTCAGTTAATAGCTTCAAAGTGCAGTATGATAGCTGGAGGAGTGTACAAACTTTATAGCTAGGAACTGTCTTTTTTTATTTTTTTCTATTTGATGTATTTGTGTTACGTGTCCGTACACTATATTTACTGCATGAGCTTATAGTACTGTGTACTCTGCTCATCTCAATTATCATAATAATAATAATAATAATAATAATAATAATAATTTACGCCTGGCAAACTGAATAAATCATTTGTTCTGCCATCATCATACGGGTTCTTAACTAGTCAAAGATTCGTTGGATTATGCAGTGTCGTTCGAAACTTATTTGCGTAAGACCGATTGCCAAAGGCTGCATTTTAGGGGCCTGTATTTTCTAAACAAAACGAAGAAGAGAAAAACTGAACTGAAAAACTGATTAAAATAATGATTAA